GATCTCTGGTGAAGACTCAGGGTCATGGAGGCTTCACCATCTGCTTGGGTTTTTCTGGCTATCAATCCAGCCTCCAGATGGGAAAGAAAGAAAGTGGAAACCATGCTGGAGCTCTTGGGGAGCCAGGCTACGAGAGAGGTGCTGTACCCCATTGGCTAGAACTCAGTCACCAGTCCCACCTTGATGCAAGGCAGGCTGGGAAATGAAAGTGCTGGCTAGGTAGCCACTTTCACCAACACCTCTGTGCTTGGTGGTCATCTAGTTGTCTTTGCCACAGTAGACAACTCACTTTTTATTTTTATTTATTTTTTCTTATTGATTTTAGAGAGAGAGGACGGGAGAGGGAGAGAGAGATAGAAACATCGCTGAGAGAGAACATTGATCGGCCACCTCCTGCATGCCCCCCACTGGGGATCTGGCCCACAACCTGGGCATGTGCCCTGACCAGGAACTGAACTGGCGACCTCTTGGTGCATGGGTCGACGCTCAACCACTGAGCCACATCAGCTGGGCGCAACTCACTTTTTTAAAATGTATTATAATGGACTTATTTTTGGACTTAGGAGGCGGTGGCTTCAAAGGCAGCCTCGAGATACAAATGTGTAAATTTGATTTAATGACCGTGCAAGGTAGATCAATTGAATTTAACTGTTCTATGATTATCTCCTTTTTAGGCTTCATTTACTTTAAAAAATCTGATCTAGACTCATTTCCTACATTAAAAGAATCGTTAGAGGTAGATGGGAAACAGGAGATCAAAAATTATAACTGGCCCCAGGAGAAGACCTCTCGCTGTCAGAATTATTTAAATCCTCTCCTGAACAGTGGGCCCCAGTCTTTGCCCAACTACTGGCTCTGATTTACTTTCAGAGAGAATCAAAGTTCCTGCACATTCTCAGTAGAGAATCAAAGTGCTGTATGATAATCCAACCCATTTCTCTAAGAAAGGGAAATTTGCTCTCTCGTTTCTGAAGTGCGATGTCTCTTTAAAAATTTTTGCCAGCTTTTTTTTTTTCTCATTAAATTGTGGACCAGATTTCTCAGCTTGCTAGCTTACATGATGTGCAAGCTGGGTCTTGGCACCACCCCCCTCTTTTGACTGGTGATATTGTTTTATTTTCCTACAGAAGGGTTAGGAATAAAATAAGCTTGAATATAACATTTAACTATTTCTCTAGTTTTTAATATCAAAGAAGCTATACATAGGCCGAGCTATTCAATTATTTTTATAGATCTCAGTTTAATACTAGTGCTAGCTTTGAAGGACCACTATGGGTTGTTGCTGTTTTTTTAATTAAAACTCTTTATTTAAAAAATTTTTTTTCATTCAATATTATTTTGTTTGTGTGTGTGTGTATATGTGTGTTTTCTTTACTGATTCTAGAGAGAGGAAGGGAGAGGGAGAGACAGAGATAGAAACACCAATGAGAGAGAGCATCTATTGGCCACCTCCTGCATGCCCCCCACTGGGGATTGGGCACATAACCTGAGCATGTGCCCTGATTGGGAATTGAACTGGCGACCTCTTGGTGCATGGGTCGATGCTCAACCACTGAGCCACACCAGCTGGGCTCAATACTATTTTGTATTAGTTTCAGGTATACAGCATAATGGTTAGACAATTATATACTATACAGCATCAATCCCCTAATTTTTCCAGTAGCTACCTGGCACCATACATAGTTATCACAATATTGTTGACCGTGTTTCCTATGCTGTACTTATATCCCCGTGGCTATTTTGTAATCTGTAATTTGTAATCCCTCCACCTTTTCACTGTCACCGACTCCCCTCCCCTCTGGCAGCCATCAGTCTGGTTTCTGTATCTATAAGTCTATTTCTATTTTGTTTGTTAGCTTTTTTTTTGCTAGATTCCACATGTAAGTGAAATCATATGGTATTTGTCTTTCTCTGATTTATTTCACTTAACATAGTGCCCTCTAGGGAAGGACCACTATTCTTAACAATTAAAGTCTCCTTCTAAGTCATATAAATCTAGTCTGCACAGATTTATCTTACTTGGTTTTCTCCTATCTTTTATCAAAATAACTTGATATTTTGGAGCAGTGTTTTGTGGTTTGGGGACCACTGAGCCTATGATATTCCACATGTATATAAGGTTACATTGTCAAATGTGTTTGGAAAATACTCCACAATATATATGCCTTGTGGTGATTGACAATGGTTAATAGCAAATTGAAACTGAAATGTCTCTTACAGTATAGAAGCCTATTAACTTTCAAGCAGGCCTTACTCTACTGAACAGAATATTATTGTTTATCCTGACAACTTAATGTGAACTACACACAAGGCTCATCGTTGTACATGCATTCAGTCCTCACAGCGTGTACAACACAAGACAGGTGTTCTTGTCGTGGCCATTCTACAAAGCAGGGACTGAGGCCCATGAAGCTCAAGCAACCAGCCTGTGTCATCTAGGTGGTAATTAGGAAAGTCTGCCTTTTAAACCAAACGCGGCTCATACTCAAGATCAATCTCTTGACTGTCAAGCTCCCACTTTTTAAAATAATACGAATTAATACACTGTAGATTTTAGAGAAATTAGTTACCTGTCAAAAGATGCAATTTTCTCTGTACTGATGGTTGTACAGTTTGAATAGGAACAGCTAAACCTCTGACTAACCATGAAGAGAAAAGAAGGAAAGAAGAAAGGGAGGAAAGAAAAGGCTCAAGAGAAGGAAACAGGGGCAGGGGAACGACATTTATATTTGCCAGACCTTCTCCTAAGGTTGCCCTGATCATATTACGTAACCTTACCTGTGAGGTCCATGACCTAATTTCCATGCTCTGCCACTAATCTTCCACATAATCTATTTCTTACAAGATAGATGATTTGATCTCCTAAACTTCGGTTTTCTCATCTGTAAAACAGAAAATAATCCCAAACCTGCCTGTGCTATTAATACAGTGTGAGGAACGAAAGAGTTAAATGTTGTAAAAGGAGTAGGAAAATTTTTTTTACTTGCCTCATGATATGCTACAATAGTGGTTTTAAACATTTATTTTTCAGCCAGAGGGCTCCTTGTAAAAATGAACTCGTAAGGGGAATTCCGGTATGTGAAATAGATACAAGGCCGAGCTCATGGCTGAGCTTCTTCCTCATCCCTGGACTGTCCCCCTCCTCCCGGGAGGGTGCTGAGGGGCTCCACGGATGCTGGGGCCCCATCGGGCACCAGCCGAGCAACACGAGGGAGGCACACTGCACTGTGCTTTTGTCACAGTACCCTGGTCTCTGAGCCTGTTTTCCTCTCTGTACAAGGAAGGGTTTGGAAGAGATGATTGTTCAGGCTTTTTCCAGCTCAGATCTTCGGGAAATCTGAGTTTCTGGCTCCTGTGTTACTAGAGAGAAATGTCTCCGTCCATGCTGACTAAAAGTGCCCCCACAGGCAACACCATGCTCATGCCTACCCTGAGGGTCAACCTTGACCCAGTGTCCTGAGAGATGGCCGCCCCTTTGGGCCTCTGAAAGGTCTCAGCACCAGTGTGGTCAACGGTCTCCATGTTGGACACACTCATTCACTCAACCAACATTTCCTGTGCTGCTTCTCTGTGAAAGCAGGTGCATGCTAAGAAGGGCTCCTCCAATGATGAGACCTCCCGCCTGGTCCACAAGGACCCACGGCATCATGGGAAATGGGACAGAGCTGCAAACTGCTAGACCACAGCCCAGTGGGGACCTACACGGGGCACCCAAGCGCCGGCTGGCAGCGAGCTGGTGCAGGGTAGGGCCTGGCCCTGCCTTCAGCCTTCCTGGCTCCGTGACTCTCCTGTGGCCTTGGAAAAGGACTGCACTTCTCCACGTCTCAGTTTCTCCATATGTGAAATGAGAATGATAATTACCCACTTCCTAGGTTTTTGTGTGGATGAAAGGAGCTAACACACTATAAGCACTTCGAAGAGTGCCTGAAACACAATAAGCACGTGATAAATGTTAACTAATATGATTTCCAGCCCAGGGCCACGTCCTCTCTTAGCGAGAACAGCACAGCAGTGAAAAGCTGCTCTGGAGACAGATGGCCACATTTCCGGGCTGAGCTCAGCCCCTCCCCAGCTGCATCACCTTGGCCAAGCTAAAGAAAGCCCCTAAGCCGGATGAAATGACATCCAATTACAAAACTCATAGCCTCTGACGCAGCAAGAATATAATCGATGCTAGCAATTATTATTGTTGTTGCTAACAGCAGTGATAGTGTAGGGAGAGCTGATCATTTCCAACTGAGGGGACTGGGAATGACATCAGGGCGCAGGTGACATTTGAGAGGACCATTGGCACGTGCCTAGGTTTTTGTGAACCTGAACTGAGTTCTGGTTGTTGGGAGACCTGTTTATTCCTCTGCATACGCACCTCAAGTTCTCCTTCCTCTTTGCCCTTTACTTCCATAGCCAGAAGAATGACTACAAAACACAACACAACTGTCTAAAGACATATATAGACAGAAACAGAAGCAGGGATGGGTGTGTGTGTGTGTGTGTGTGTGTGTGTGTGTGTGTGTGTGAGCCATGCCATTTTGCTCTTCCCAAGCCTCCCATAGCTTCCTGTTGCCTTCAGGATAAAGTTTACACTGTGTGGCCTGGCCTTCTAATCCTTCTGTTACCTTGATCGAAGTGCCCACTGCCCTCAGCACTAACCCAGTCTCCCACCCCAGACCCACTAAACTTACCTATCTGGGCAGACTCTTGCCTTCACATCTTGGCTCATAATCTCTCTGATCTAAAAGGGTTGGGTCCAACCTGTTCATCCCTTACGACCTTAAGCCCTGCCTCTTTCTGCTGCCTCTTTCAAAGCCTAGGTTCTCACACTTGGCTTCTGCTTCTCTGAGCTCCTTAGGCCCCGGTTATCTGAACCAGTCACTCGTTAATTCTGGAGCCACATGTATGTGTGTGTCAAGTCTTCCAAAGTAGACTGGAGGAGCTGTCAGAATAGGACCATTTCTCAGATCCTGGCTTAACTTATGTCACTACCTTCTTCTTATTAACAGATTGGTTACTGGAATGAAGATGACAAGTTTGTCCCTGCAGCCACTGATGCTCAAGCCGGGGGAGATAATTCAAGTGTCCAGAATAGAACGTACATTGTCACCACGATCCTAGTGAGTACTCACCCCTTCACCGAGGCTATCGGGATGCACGCAAGACCCACACAAAGGTTTTCCCCAGGAGTGAAAGCTGGTCATTCCTGCCAAAACAGTGCCATCGGTAGAAAGAGGGAGTGAAAAAAGAGATTTCCTGGAAGTCAGAGGTACTCTTTCCAAACTGGCTCTGCCATGAGTTCACACTGTGCCCCTGGATAAGTCACTTAAACATAGGTTCCCCACATATAACACGTGTGAGACTCCATGATTTTCAATGATTGATCATGACAAGTCTAGAGCCTATTTAGGGTCCACATCCCCAACACAGTGCCCCCAGAGGTACCTTCCAAAAATACAAGAACTCCTGGAACGTAATTTGATGGGTCATGCACCACATCTCAATGGTGAAACATTCTTATTTTAACCATTTACATCCTTAACCCAAGAAGTTTCGTAATGGAGGAACAGAAATGCAAGAAGTGGATCTAGGGGCTAAAGGGACCTCCCCAAAGTTAACCAGTGTTGGTGACATCTCCTCTGCTACTCCAAAGTCCTCCCTACCCATGAGTGATCACATAACCTACACTCTCTGTCTCCCCGTTTCTCCACCAGGAAGACCCTTATGTGATGCTTAAGAAGAATGCCAACCAGTTTGAGGGCAATGACCGTTACGAGGGCTACTGTGTAGAGCTGGCGGCAGAGATTGCCAAGCACGTGGGCTACTCCTACCGTCTTGAGATAGTCAGCGATGGAAAATACGGAGCCCGCGACCCCGACACAAAGGCTTGGAATGGCATGGTGGGGGAGCTGGTCTATGGAGTAAGTTTCCCACAGGGTAGGAAATTCAGAGCAGAGGCAGATGGTTTGAAAGGAAACTATTGGGTGATTGGCTGGCTATGCCCACAAATGACTATTAAACTCCATAATTTGGTATTTTGTATTGTTGCCAATGAAAAGATGAGGAGTCCAAAATCCGACGTCTTAATGACATTCATTGTTCAGGTCCCTGTTCCAAGCTCCCTCAGCCAAACACAGCACAATCTTATGACCAAGATAAGCTGTTACTTATGTATGGCTCCCTCAACATGAAGTCACTTATGACTCAAAGTCATTTATGGCTCCCTCAACATAAATTTCTTCCCTGGTATTAGATGCACCCAGATCCAACTCTCTCATCACGTGACCCAGTACTTCCTTCTCCTGCACCTTACGTTTCCTCCAGTGCACCTCCTGAGTCACTGTGTTCTCTAGCGTGCTCTCTCCCATTCTACACCTCTAAAATCTATCCCTCCTCCAAAACCTAGATCAAATATTACCTTTTCCAAGGTTTCATTTCTTTCTCCCCATAACAGGTACAAATTCCCCTTCTTAACTCCCCTTGCCTTCCTCTGTAGAACTTAGTTTCTGCTTCTATTATAGCTTACCCTGACTTGTGTAATGGTTACCCGTGTAACAGGGGCTTGTCTACTTCATCTTTGTATCACTCACTATACTAAAGACAATGCCATGAACAATTGCCATAAAATCTTCCACAAATTGAAGCACTTCTGGGAAGCCACTGAGTGCTTGAGTTATTTTTAAATATTTAGGGAATCATTGAGTAATAAAAGATCTGCCCGTCCGGTGTGGCTCAGTGGTTGAGCATCGACCCATGCACCAAGAGGTTGCCGGTTCGATTCCCGGTCAGGGCACATGCCCAGGTTGTGGGCCTGATCCCCAGTGGGGGGCGTGCAGGGGCAGCCAATCAATGTTCTCTCTCATCGACGTTTTCATCTCTCTCTCTCCCTCTCTCCCTTCCTCTCTCTCTGAAAATCAATAAAGAAAAAAAATATTTAAAAACAAAAGGTTTAAAAAAAAAAAAAGAAGTAAAAGATCTGATCCCTATCCCCCAAGGATGTTAAGATTTTATCAGGTAGAAAAGACAACAATAAGGAATAGTAAAAGTTCAGGCAAGAGGCTAACATGAGTTTATCTAGCCCCTGATATGGATATGGAACTTGAAAAGTGGCCGTATTCAGACAGAGAGAAAGGAACCCAGGAATTTCTAAAGTATAACAATGGTGATGGAAACAAGTAACGTGTAAGAGAAGAGTAAGAAAACACTGGTCATTTCTGTAAAGGGCTTGGGTGAGGAGTGCCAGGGATGCGTGTGAGTGAGGGATGCTAAGGGGAAGGTGTGGACTGACTCACTGGGCACTGGGAGACCATGGAAGTGCTTGAGCAGAACGGCAGACGGCAATGTAAGAGCCCAGGTGCGCTCACAGAAATGAAAGGGTGCAGGTGGGTCTCTGAGCTGAAGCACACGCTGAGCCCAGGTTGGTGTTGAGTTCGGCTCAGGATAAAGCCATCCTTTAGGAGCTTTTAAAATCTCATTGTCTATATCAAGGTAAGAGGAGTCGTGATGGCCATGAGAGCCATACGAAGGGAATTCTAAGAACAAGGAGATGGAATAAGGAAAATCTTCCCCAGGAAGGTGGCTTTTGAGAGGACCTGGAAAGACGGTTAATAAATCGAGGGGTGGGATGTGTTTCTGCCCTTTCTCCTCCCTCTACTGCCTCTCAATTTGGGAAGCTCTACTGAGGAAAGATAGAGACCTGGATGGTTAATGCTGCATCTGGAGGCTGGTTTCCATGGGAATCACCCCCAAGCTTGTAAGGTCATCCCCATGGCAACTGCTGTGAACCTGTCACCTTCACTAGCATTCATCTTCATCTTCACCCCACTGTTCCCTTAATAGAAGGCCTATGATAGGGCAGAACAATGGTGTTATCATCCGGAGGGCAAGCCCTCAGTGAGCCAAGCAGTGATGAGGCACTGGCTTATCAGTAACAGAGCAGTTACCTCTGGGGGCCTCAGCCCCCAGCCCTCCCTCTGCCTGGGCTGTCCTCTGCTCAGTACAAATTGTATTCTGAAGACTCCATGAGCTCCATCGGGTACCTTCCCTTAATTGTCATTGGCTTTTCTTTTCTGTTCCCTGAAGAATAGAAGAATCTGGGGCAGTATCTCTCAGCCACAACCAACCAGTGAGGTCAGAAAAAGTGCATTTGGAGGCTTCCAGATGTATTTTGGGGGTGTCTTTTAAATAGCTAAGTCAATCAGGGACCCTTCCCTCTTCCTTTTGTTCTCCTCCCTTGTTCTCATCAACTCCTGCAGTCGGAGCATTTCAGCACAATGTGTCAGAGGCCATGGGAAGTACTTCACCCACATCATTTCATGTCCTCGTCATAACAACCCCAGAAGGTGGATATGATTATTTTCCACATTTTATAGATAAGGACCCCGGGGAAGCCCAGGGAGGTTAGGTAATTTGGCAAAGGACATACAGCTAGTAAAAGCCGAGTCGGGACATGCGGCCAGGCTGGCTTTTTGTACCCCACGCTGGGATATGCGACCTCAGTGAGAATCACCTCGTTCATGCTCTGGACTGTAAGGTGACGAGAACAGCAAGCGCCTCTGCGTTCTCAGACGCCACGGGTGGCAAATGAAGCTTCCGCTTCTTATATGGGGATGGCCTCGTGCCTGGTTCACAGGTGACTCTCTTGCTGTCCCTTGAGGGAAGTGGAAAGAGAGTGACCTTTGCAGACAGACACCTGAACTTGAGTTCTGACTTTGCCAGCTTACTGACTGCATGACTCCTGCAAGCCACCGGACTCCTCTGAATAACACGAGAAGTGAATCCTTCGTCCGGGGCTGGGGTAGGGAGTATTCACTCACACAGTGCCTGGCTCACAGTAGTTCTCCATCCCTGACCATTTTCTTTACTTTTCACTTTTACTTACTGCATCAAAACTGTTGACTGTTTCCCCGGGACTGCTTCTAGACACCACATACTTTGTTTGGGGATCTCCCAGGTTCTCGAAGTGTGAGGACCCGCAGCATCAGTATGCAAATTCTCGGGTCTCACCCCAGACCCACTGAATCCAGAAACGCTGCCACCTGTCTTTTCAAAGCCCTCCAGGTGATTCTGAGGCACTGTCCCAAGATGTCAGTTTAATAAATAATTCCAAGCGCCTGTGAAATGCTCACAGTTCGCAGTACCCTCACATTAGAATTCATTTGACCCTCACAAGACAATCCTGTCAAATAGGCAAGACCAAAACGATGTTGTGCCTCTCTTTTTTTAATGAGGAAATCGATATCCGAAAAGACAACTGTCTCACTTAAGGCTTCGTGGTCAGTGAGTCACAGGGCAGAAAAGCCAGGTGGACTTGCCCGGATCAGCTCTGCCCGAGGCCAATCCTGCAGAGATCCAGTAACTTCCCCGGACCTGGAACTCAGCTCCCAACCTCCCAGTCAATGTGAGACCAGCTCAAACACTGCTGCTTTGCACAAACCGCTTTCCTCTCTGGACCGAGTTTCTAATCTGTAAAATGAGGTCGGTGAATCGAGCATCTCCCGCTCTGTGTGCATCCCACACACACACGGTCCCTGTTGATGCCTAGGTATTCACGGGCAATTAATTTTAGAAATACTCCATCTAAAGTTCCTCCTGGAACTTCTCAGTGAATATTGTTCTTTCGAAGGGTCTGGGAAGAACTTCCCCCAAAGTAACTTATTTAAATCTGTGTTTCTCAACATTTATTTTCATTTTACACTTATTAGCATCCTTCCATGAAACAAATCTTGGAACTGCACAATGAACTAAGCACTAAGATGATGTGGTTCTGTGATTTTTCCAGTCCACAGGCCATTCCATTAGCTCTCATCAGGAGGCCTCCAACAAATCCATTCGGTTCTGTTACCACTTTCAAAGCTGGCTGTCTTACACCTCCCTTTTGGGTAACTTGTGCTCAGTCCCTCATTTCCACCACTTTTCTCCTCCACCCCTTTTGCTATTACTTTTCTCTCATTTCCATTACTTTCCGCTCCCATTCCTTTTCTCTCTGTATTAGGCTATAGAGAAAAGAACAGATATCTTCTCCCTCACACGGGCTTATACGTGTTCGTAAAAATCATCAAGATGTATGCAGTGGGTGTTTGGGAAAAAAGAAAAAACAGAACTACTATGAAATTCACACCTGACTCCATACTGCTTTCTGGAAAGTTTCTTTCTATAAGTGAGAACCTGCATCATTCTGAAGCCAGGCTTTTTTCCCCCGCTCAAAGCATCTTCTCAATAATCCCAGCCAATGAGAGCAACCGGAGGAAATCGCTAAGCAACACCAGGCGGTGGCTAAGCGGGGCCCTCATGTCACGGCACCTGTCCCTGGCCGCACATCTGGGCTGCTGCACAGCATCAGGGGACAAAGCCCTCCATCTGGAGCACACTTGCATAGACGCGGCTCTCCTGTCCAAAATGAGTGTTGTGCCATCTGTCCAGGGGACCTTCGGGGTTCCCAGGATCTCCTCCTCTGAGCCGACAGAGCGGCGGCCTTTTGTCGCCCAGATGTCAGCGCCGCTGCCCTTCGGTCGAGGTGGGGACAGCGGAAGAGCAGGGCTGGCCATGCCGCATGCCAGGTGCCTCGGGATAAGCAGTCCTTGCAACCCTCTATGTTTACCTACAGGCTGGATTTAAATGTTAAAAAGTGAATTATTTGTGTATTTCTTGGCAGTCTTCCTGGAAAAAGAAATAGTAGTCGTGCGACTTTTCCTTCTCTCTGCCAGGCCTTTACTCGTAATTCCCTCCTCCTCAAATGCACTCGGTGCCAGAACCCTGCTCCGTCACAGTCCTCCTCCTCCAGTGGCAAATGCATATGCCACCTCCTTCACGGTGAAGGCCCGATCTCCCAGCCAGGATGAATCCCTCCCTGGTCTCTTGCAGTATTTTGTATTTCTTGGATAGCACATATCCAGCCTGCTTTGTAGGCTGAAAGGTGTGTGTGTGTGTGTGTGTGTGTGTGTGTGTGGTGTGTGTGTGTGTGTTCCCACTAGTCTATAATTCCTTGAGTATAGGGACCAAAGCTCACCATCAGCTTCCAGTGAGTGCCCAGTAAATGCTTATCGAGTTGGATTTGTCTTCACCATCTGATTAGCCAGGATTATCTTGTTGCAGGTAAAAGAAACCCACCCAAACTTGCCTAGGCAAACAGAAAGACTGGTTCATGGTCTTGGGCAAACACAAGAATATATTGGCCCATGGTCCTTGGGAGCCCAGTGTGACCCTTAAATGTAGTGTAGCCCAAATTATTTCCTCATGATCAGCTTCTGCATCTCTCCCTCTGCCTCTCAGAGCTAATGCTCACTAAACTGACGTGGTTGCTATGCCGTCTTTAAATGAGTCATTCTGGCCAGGGGAGTTGGCCAAAGCTGGGTTGTGTGCTTCACGAGGTAACCATGTGATCAGGCGCACCTGAACCAGGAGGCGAGCGTAGGGCAGGAGTGGATCCTCTATCCTCTAGCAGAGAGAGGAGGCCGGGCTGCCAACAGGCAAAACGACAGGTATCACAACAACCCCCTCTGGTAAGGTTGGGGAGGTGCTCCTAACAACTAGAACTGTCAAACAGTGGGATCGTCTCTCCTGTGAGAGACTGAGCTGATCATCTATTTGTCAGAAATATTTTATAGAGATCAGGAGGTGGGTTTGAACATCTAAGTTTCTTTCTAATTTACATACTTCAAGAGACAAAAGAATATTTATAGTGAAGAAAGAAACAAGAGAACAGAATGCTGCTGAGCTCAATTGCCTCTCTCTCTCTCTCTCTCTCTCTCTCTCTCTCTCTCTCTTTCTTTTTTCAGAGAGCAGATGTGGCTGTGGCGCCTTTAACCATCACCTTGGTCCGGGAAGAGGTGATAGACTTCTCCAAGCCATTTATGAGTTTGGGGATCTCCATCATGATAAAAAAGCCACAGAAGTCCAAGCCAGGGGTTTTCTCCTTCCTCGATCCTTTGGCTTATGAGATCTGGATGTGCATTGTGTTTGCCTACATCGGAGTGAGCGTCGTCCTTTTCCTGGTCAGCCGCTTCAGCCCCTACGAGTGGCACAGTGAAGAGTTTGAGGAAGGGCGGGACCAGACAACCAGCGACCAATCCAATGAGTTTGGGATATTCAACAGCTTGTGGTTCTCCCTGGGAGCCTTCATGCAGCAAGGATGTGACATCTCTCCCAGGTCAGTCGGCTCTTTTCCACCCCTTTGCTCAGTGCTCTATTTTTCTTGGTGAAGCAAATGCGGAAAAGCGAAGGGGTAGGAAGTATCTGCAGGCTTCATTGTAGTCAGTGTTTCCCCTCTGCTTTACTGTCAACCGTCCCCTGCACGCTGAGGACGATCTGGACGCATCCTGTGTCTGGGCCTGTTCTATCTGGCTGATGCGCTCGGTCAGGATTAACAACCCTGATGCTCTGTAGCTAAAAGGTACAGAGAAAAAATGAGGGGACAGTATGGTACAACTAACACTGATTGAGCACTTGCCATGTGCCAAGCAGGGTTTTGAGTCGTCTGGATGCATTTCTCTCACTGAATCCTCATAGAAGCCTAAGATGGGGCTCTCTTTGTATCTCCCTCTGTGAAGGGAGAACCATGGAAATGCTGGGTGTCCTGCCACAGTTAAACAGCTGGTAGCTAGGCGAGTTGCGATTCGGACCACCATCCTGTACTGCTTCTGAAGGAGCAGCGAATTGTGACAGAGCCCTAGTCTAGCATGCTCTCTGTGACCCTGAGCAACTCGCCTGACCCTCGCTATCTTATCTTTCGGAGAAAAGCTCTTTTCTCTAAGTTCGGAGAAAGACCTTGGAAATAAGTTAGTTCAGACGGTGATGTCAATTTCTTTCTGGTGGTTCAAAAATGAAGGTTCTCAGAAGTGCCTGTGATGTCGTATTGAGAATACAGGGGTGAGCAAATCAGTGAGTTTCCAGCCCCCCACCTGGAACCAGAGTAGCCCCATTTTTGTCTGTTTTATGTATTGGCCTTGTGAATACCATTTCTTTCATGAAAGAACCCTGAAGCTAAGAAAGATAGGAGGAAGGGTGGAAAGGGCGGGGAGAATTGTGAAAACTACCGATCTAGGCCAATTCCCACCTTTATTTACCTCTTGTCTTTGTGTGTACTGTTCTTTCAAGTACATTCTGAAATGTTTGTGCCGTGAATCTCCTCCCATTTACCTGATAAATAAGCATGGACTGTATCTCCTTTTGCAACAGCATAATTTCTATGAACTCTCTCCAGTAGGCAGCCCCCTATAGATGACCAAGTTTCTATAGCATGCAGGGATGCGTGGCTATGAATTTGCCTACGTAGATAGATTTACATACACTCTTTCTAGGGGCACAAGTGTATGTATAGCAAGGCCTCATGAACAAGCGCTGGAGATACCTTACCACAGATAAGATCATTGCGCATGTGAGTGTCGATGACCAATATTCCTAAGTGGAATAACATCTTTCTAAGGAGGTTCCTCCAGGAAACTTTGACTGCTGTATAACTTAGATAGTCTAATTATTCACCATTATGATTTTGTTTTCCTTTAAATTAGAAGACAGTCAGGGGTGGGGGAGGGTGCGTGGGAGACGAGGTGGGAGACTGGATTCTTGGCCAATACTGGCAAACACATGGTGAAGAGCAGAGAGAACCAAGCAGGGGAAGGGCATACTTCAGCATAAACCAGGCCAGTGAATAAACAGTCAGAAAAAATGGTTCTTATCTAGTCAGTATAATCTAGAGCCATCAAAACATGTGTGGGTCTCCAAAGACCCATGGCCTTGCTTCTTCTCCATTATGTCTTCGCTCAGTGGGTGTCTTCCCTCCTCCTGTGGTCTGGCCTCAGACTCCCACCATTCCTCCAGAGGTCTCACGTCGGTGGCCGACAGCTGGTGCCTCTGCCAGGCATGCTTCTCTTTGGTCTTCTCAGAGCTTGGCGCTGGTCACCCAACACTGAGTGGCAGCTGCCCTCTAGCCGACCACGCGTTCTCCACGGCCCCTGTCTTTCTGTTTTCATTACTGAGTTCCTCAGCGGGCTCCTGAGAGGGGGTCTGAGTTTGTGGCCTCTGGCTGCAAGAGGACTTTCAAACTGGTTTCCAGGACTTCTGAGGGTTCCACTAGGGTATCTTAGGAACTGACACAGGGGCGAAATGAGACTGAACAGGATCGTACCCAGCCTCCTGCCTCCCAATCTTTAATAAAACAACTTCACCCTCTGCCTGTTTTTTCACCAGTACAATGGGCATAAGAGTTCCTACCTCAAGTACTGTTGTGATGTTTAAAAGAGATGGACACCTATAGACCCCATAACACAGTACCCAGCCAGCACAAAGGGAGCACTACAAAACAGATGTTGTTGTTTATCTGATCTGTTTTCTATACTAGACTAAGCTTCCCCAAAAGAGAGTGTGCTCACGCTGCTTTGAAAGCCACTGGGCTGCTCTGTTCCAGGGAAGTCCAGAGTCAGAACAGAGACAGCCTGTGGTTCCCTCCAGACCAGCACCGCCTGGGTTCCTGAGACTCCTCTTCCCAGGAAATCAGAGGAAGGAGCTGTCATTTTTGGATTAAAGGGTCTGACAGACACAGGAGTGAGCCGACAGAATACGGAGTTTTATCCACCTGAGGTGGACTCTCTCGTGGAGCTTGCCCTGCCGATTCCAGAGCCTGGGGCCTGCAGAAAGCCCTAGGAGTCAGGAGACACATCACAATCTTGCCTGGAAATGTAGGCTAAAGAGAGAAGGCATCTTGCTAGGACCAGACAAAAAGACAAGGATACTTAGACAGTGATCTGGGACAGAGACCCAGCAGACGGCTGCAAACACAACGGAAGTTTATGTTTTATACACATTTCCTGATGAGTTAAACAAGTTTCGTGTACACATCGCACCATGTTAGACACTCTGGGTGCTATGGTGGAAGAGACTTTGAAGGAATTTGTATATACCAAACACCCTTTCCAATGAGCTTCAATGAACCGTTCTTCCTATTTCCTGAGAGACTATACCTTAAATTCTCACGAATTTAGAATTCGAGGAACTACGTTTTATCTGCATTGTTTCTGCATTCATCCGCAAGTCGCCCTATCTCTTTTTAACCTCTTGAAATGCCATGTCGATGTCTATCAACCACAGCCTACAAAATGTGGCCAAATGTGGTTGTCTGCAAGAAACAAAATAACCCGACCACAGTGATATGAACAGATATTTTGCTCTGTTTCCTACACGATACGAAAACTGGTGGCAGATGGTCGCTCTCGCTTGATTCAGTGACATCAGGGTCAGCTGTTCTGTGATTCTCTTCTTCATGTTTGCAAGATGGCAGGTCCAGACTCTGTGTCCACAGTCAAGCAGCAAGAAGGGGAGGAAGTGTTGCCAGTCATTTCTATCTCTTTGGATCAAGAAACAAAAGCTTGACAGAGCCCTGGCCGGTTTGGCTCAGCAGTTAGGATGTCAGCCCGAGGACCGAAGGGTCGTGGGATCGATTCCTGGTCAGAGGCATGTACCTGGGTTGCAGGTTCAATCCCTGGCCCTGGTCAGGGTCATGCAGAAGGCAACCAACTGATGTCTCTCTCACACTGATGTTTCTCTCTCTCTCTCTCTCTCTCTCTCTCTCTCTCTCTCTCTCTCTCTCTTCCCCTCACTCCCTTCCACTCTAAAACTCAATGGGAAAATACCCTCAGGTGAGGGTTAACAACCACAACAAAGCTGAACAGAATACCCCCCTCCCCAAGCAGATGTCTTTTCCCATTTCATTAGTTACAACAGTGACCCATGGTCATTTCTAAGGGCAAGGGAGGCTAGGAGGCAAGAATTTAGGTGTTCTAGCCTCGAGAGTAGAAGTCATGGGAATGGATGTTGGAGAGTCAATCAGCAGTATTGTCTAAAGTCAATGTTTTCTGCGCCAACACCATGAATAGATAAGATAATCTGTAATTCGCACAATGACATGTGCCAGTAAATGCTACTGAAATGCTTTAAAGACTCTTCCCTCCTCCCTTTAAAATGTTTATATGTATGAGAAATTTGTTTTATGTAACCTATTTTAACATTCAAAGTTAAAATTCATTTTAGCTGTGATCACAGATAAAAAAAAATGCCATCCATGAATTGACTTGTAAGCCTGCTTCTGGTGCCCAAAGATGTATTTTCAATACATATATTAGATTCCTTTTTTATTGAGAAGAACATTTTGAGAAGGGATACATGAGACACCCACAATCATCACCGTCAAAATTTATCTTTAGCTCCCTCAACTTTCCTTTCTGTACCTTTTCCCCTGTTTGTGGCCAACGTCATCCATTTATTCAGCAGGCGTTACTAGTTGTCTATGACACGCCGGGCATGGTACTAGGTGCTGAGGATATGAGGATATATTGATGATGGAGCAGGGGGTGCAGAGTCTTTACTCCAAGGAACTGGCAGTATAGTGGTATGAACAGACATTAAACAAGCAATTGTGAATATATACATTGTGATGTGCTATGAATAAAACAAACCTCCTACAGCAATAGGTAATAAGGGATGTGGGATTAAAGGAGACTTACTTGGGATGTTCTGAGAAGGTTCCTCTGAGGAGTTGACAGGTAAGAAGGAGCCAGGCTTATTAGAACTGAGAGACATAATAGCCATGCGTAAAGACCCTCAGGTAGAAACGAGCTTAGTCCTTTCAAGGATGGGAAGAGTAACCAGTGTGCCTGCCTTGTAGTGAATGAGGAGAATGGGGATTGGAGATAACACTGCAGAAGTAGGTAGAGGCCAGATCATGTAGGGCCCTCGTGGCCATAGTATAGATTTGGAGTTTTATCTAAGTGCAATGAAAACACATTGGAGAGTTTGAAGCGAGGAAAGAATTGATTTACATGCTAAAATGCACTCTGGGGAGCTATGAGGAAAGTGAATTAGAGCAGGAATAGTCCAGAGTGGAAGCAGAGGGACCAAGCAAGACGCTCTCCCGGCCACCCGGGGGAAATTATAGCGATGGGAATTCTGATGGTTGTGGAGATGGATTTGGGGTCTACTTTGAAACCAGAATGAACAGCACTTGCTGATGGATTGGATGTATGAAGGGGAGGAGACGGAAGAGCCAATGGTGACTCCAAGGGGTGGGGAGCATTTGGAAAACATGAGCCTCTATAGTTCAGGAGACCTTTAGCTCTGGGTGGGATCATTCTCGTGTTACAGATGAGAACACACACC